TGACTATCACTCCAACTAGTTTAATTGCTTCAATTAAACACTAAATACATTTAAAATAAATCTTACTCATAATATCATAAGTTTATCAAACACCTTAATTAATAATTAATTAATTAATTAATAAATACAAACATCCCAATACCAACTCAATAGTCCTAATTATAATAAATTGTAAACTTATATTCTAAATTTCAACCTCAATATCACTCCAATTGTTCTGCCATTAATTGTATATAACACTCCATAAATAAACAACTGAAACCAAATCCACGAATCCCACTCAAACATAACGACCACTGTAACAACCTATTTCTTATTGTTTTGTATTACCTTACTGTTACTAATCGATTTCATTGTTTTGGATCCTTTTCGTATTCCCATAGAAGTCCCTACTTCGTAAGCTAGTTCTTCTGTTTTGATTTATGATTCCAATCACCCTAGCCACAATTGCATCTGATTACCTAATAAAAACTCTCACGCAGCCAAAGCCAAAGAATTGGATTTTTGCTAAATTTTACTGGGTCCCGCCACATCATCATTACCATTATTTATTCCAATTTTTTTCTCCACCTTCTAGGCTTCTACAGATTCCTTGCCTTATTCTTTCATATTCCTTTACTAAATTATCACTAAAAAAACAAAAGGGTTAATTACAATGACACCCCCTGAGGTTTGATATATTGACAACCATATATAACTTAACCATTTTTGAACAATGACACCCCCTGTGAGAATTTTGATCCAAACAAGCCCTTAAAATGTTAAAAAGACGAGATTGCCCTTCAATGTTTAATTCATTTTTGTGGGAAAATATCAGAACTTATGAAAAGTCAATTTTGCTCTTATATATATACATTATTACATCAACACCATCATATATATATATATATATATATATATATATATATATATATATAAGTCCAACAAAAAATTGGGATAGCAGCACCGTCGCCAACCACAGCCGAGCTCCACCTCCCTTGCCGGATCTGTCTCACCGTCCACAGCCACCGGCCGAGCTCGTCATCGCTCTCATCGCCGGTCGCAGATCATAGCCGATTTCTCCTTGCCCGCCGATGGACATCATCAAAGCCGAGAGTCCCTGCCGGTGGACATCCAGATCTGTCTCACCGATCCACAGCCACTGGCCAAGCTCGCCGTCGCTCTCATCGCCGGTCGCAGATATCCACAACCGAGTTCTCCTTGCCCGCCGGTGGACATCATCAAAGTCGAGAGTCCCTCCTTGCTCACTGCCGCAGTTAACCAGCCCGCCTCTATCGGCTTTATTAACCCGTCACAGCTAGTCCGTCACCGCTTTGCCGCAGTTCATCCACAGCCGTGCTCTCCATCTTGCTCGCAAGTTCGCCGCCGAGTCTCCACGGCCAGTGGATGCTTTGACGAAGGCCCGGCACCGCCTCCACTCTCTCTACCACTATCGCCCCTGTTCATTCTTTCGAGAAATATATTTTATTTTTTTTTTGCCCACAAAATTGAAGAACCACATTGGATAGGCACAGAGAAATTAATTAATAGTATGCAATAATTCTCACTAAACCCATTTGCAATTTCTCTATTTCGTTTTTTGGTGGAGGTGGCAGTGGTGGGTGGTGGTGGTTTTGGGGGCAAAATTTTTGGGTTTTCAGTGAGAGAGAATAAAGATATAAAATTGGAATTAATAAGGGTAATTCTGTCATTTGAAGATTTGGATATTTTAAATTAAAAATTAGTATTTTATTGAAGGGAAATTTAGTCTTTTCTCACCTTTTAAGGGTCTGTTTGGATCAAAAATTCTAGCAGGAGGTGTCTTTGTTAACTTTATCAAACTTAGAGGGATGTCATTGTTCAAAAATAGTCTAACTTGTATATAACTGTAATTATAGCAAACCTCAGAAGGTGTCATTGTAATTAACCCAAAACAAAACTATCATTAACCCCAATTACTTAATTTCTTTTATATAACCCAAAATCAATCAGTATAAATCTATGCTAATCTGCAACTCCAATAAAACAAAAGAAATAATGAAATAAATATAATTTCTAATCAACAATAACTCCTTGTATAATCTCCATATCACTAATTAAAAATAATTATCATGAGTTCTACAATTAAATCATATTTAATAATCTAACCATTAAAACATAAATAAATACAGATTTACAAGCAAGAATTAACTTGCTTGTAATGCAATCACTACTTGAGCTTTTCTTCGCTTCACAACAATGAACGCGTAATAATCCTCGGGATAGCAACGTAGGTAAAAACTGAATACACAACTAGATCTAGATATATCCATATATATATCCAATGGTTGAGTTCAATAAGAACTCTTTTAAATTTCAAAGTAAATTAAATGATAACTCTGTTATTCCCTTTTAAATACAATCACCTATTTATTCTTTTCTTTTAAAAAAAAAAAAAATGGATAATTCCTATATAACAATATGTGTCCATAAATATATATATAATAATAATAATTTACGGGTTGTTACAAAAATAACCTTTCAATCGTCAACACAATTGTGGAAAATTAATTAAGTATTGATATGACATTTGCATATGATTTAATTTATATAGAAACAAACAAATATTTGAAATCCTAATACATCCACAATTATAATGAAGGAAAATAAATTTTACAAAAATCTAATGGAAATAAATCTATAATTTGACCTCTTCTTACGCAAAGATTTGAACTGTCAATGATAAAACTTGATTTTTAATTCGGATTATAAACAACATATTTGAAGAAACATAATAGTACAGGACATTACATACACAACATCTACGTAATGTTTATGCATTGAATATAGTGTTCAACTATGTCCAGAAGCAAGCTCCCAAAATGAACAATTAAACATCTGTTTGGAAATTGCTTTTGTTATTTTTTTTTTTTTTATGTTACAAGTAGTGTAATGTAGGGAAACATAACATCAAAGTGCGTTTGGTAACTTTTTTTGCAATTTAAATAGTATTGGACTTACTGTATACCGCGTGTTGTCGAAAAGAGGCCAAACTAAAAACAAAAATTAGCATCTCCGCTTGTTTCCGCGTCTTAACAAAACACTCTTTAATTCTAACAATATCCAAAAAATAATTATAATAAAAAATAAAAATAAAAACTCTTAATGGCCTTTTTTTTAATTAGCCATTTTGTTTTTAAATCTTCCATCACTCTTTTCCAAACATGTTTTAATGTTTTTACTTTCTAAACTATTTCAACAAATATTACGTGGCAAAACATGCTTCTAATAATACTCTATAGCATAAAACGTTTTTTCTGTTTTAGATGAAAACATAAATATAAAAAGAAAACAATTTTTAAAAACTCAACATATGAATTCTTGATTATTGTACAACATATAAATATATATATATATATATATAGATTAAGAAATTACATAATTAAAAACTAATTTATACAACACCGAATAAATACATAAAGAATACATAGATTCTTCACAAACTCTCGATGTTAGTTCTCTATGAATTCCGTTAAATGGCAAGATATGAAAACATCTCACTGCTATTCCTCATGGCGGGTAGGGAGTCTTCCAAAAATAGAGCGACTGTATTGGTTGTAGAAGTATCTGTTTGGCACTAAAGTAGATGCATTTTGACGGCTATTTTAACCTTTATCGAATTATTGAATAATTTTTAAAAATAAATAAATAAATGTCTAATTTGAGTAAAAAGGTTGTGTATTAACTTACAAATGAGCCTCGCACCCCATACACAACCTCAAAATATACAACTATGATATTTGCAAATGTCACAATCTAACAGCCAAGAAAATTCTAAAATTACATTAATTGTAGAATACTCAAAAACAATATCAAATCTATGCAATATTCTATACAATTTTATACAAATCTATATGTGTTTTGAAACCTTATAAACAATACAAATAACTACATACATGAAGATACGAAAAAATGTCTTCCACTCAACTCGCAATTTTATTTAATTGCCATAACTTTGCCGATGGTAGCTTAGTCCTAGCAATTTCTAGGCTACAATTTGTAATGAAGATGACTGATAAAGAAATAGATATATTGTTTTTTTCTCATTTTGATCTCTTTATTCTCGTTTTATTTGTATTTTTTTCACAAAGTTCTCTATCACCTCGAAGACCTTTAGGGAGGGGCAACTTTACTTCCTAATGGTGTTTGACCTCATATCAATCGTGTCGTAGTTTAATTAATTATTTGACCTCATATCAATCGTGTCATAGTTTAATTAATTATTTTTTTAGTTCGATTGATTTATTTGTACAAAAAAAATGAACAAATATTTTTAATACGTATGGTCGTGTCAAAATTTCTATTATCATGGCGATTACGGAATTAAGATCTCAAAATCTCTAAATTTTGACAACTTGACGATAAGAATAGAAAATGAATTTGTGTCTTAAATTCAAGAAATCTCAATGTTGCTTTCGAACTAATACAGCATTCAATTATGCAATTGACTGCTACAATTACAGGATGACAATTATATCTGAAGTTTAATCAAGTTTTAGAACACATATGGTAAAGGTTTTGGTCTAGTAGGGCTTTTAATCAAAGTTCAAATTTTTTTTTTTTTCAAGTATAATAAAAATTAATAGAAATATTCAATCTATGAAAAGTGTATTTACATAAATTACCGAAAAGAAAAAAAAAAAGAAGTGTATTTACATATTATGTCCCTGAATACTTTGATCTTTCAGAGAGCACTTTTTTGGACAGCTCTATATATATATATATATATATATATATATATATATATATATATATAATAAAAATAAAAATAAAAAAATATGACATGCACGAACTCATTTCGGATACCAGTGAAAGTCATTATTAGTTTCTTTTATTTTATGTAAAAATAATTCTTTCTTATTGGACAAAAGCAAATTCAAACAATAAAAATATCTAAAATAACCTTTCAATAGTGGACAATTTATATAGAAACAAACAAATATTTGAAATCCTAATACATCCACTATTACAAGGAATGAAAATAAATTTTACAAAAATCTAATGGAAATAAATCTATAATTTGACATTTTCTTACACAAAGTGAACACTCTCTAATTTGAACTGTCAATGATAAAACATGATTTTTAATTAGGATTATAAACAACAGATTTGAAGAAACACAATATCAACACATCATAATCAATTATCAGTCTACCACATTCCTACCCCCAAAAAATAAATAAATAAATAAATAGCTTGCAAATCATTTGAAGATGTACACGGGCAGAGTGAGTTTGGTTTTGTACCTATAGAACACCTTTTTCTTCTTATAGGACTGATTTTCAATGGTTATCACTATTTTCCCAGGTTCATTTATGTAAAAGGAGTTCCTAACACTCCTTCCCATTTTCTTTTCCATTTGTAGCAAGAGATTGTATGAGCAATCATCATCTGGCACAAATTCCTCCTTGTAGCTCACCCCATGTCCAATTGCTATCACATCCCAAACCACCGTCACTCCAATCTAATCAAGAAAAAATATATAAATTAATCTAAGTTAAAATAAACCGATGATTAATGTCAATGGCGGTTGTTAGAACTGAAAGTAAGTCTTGGCACAACAGGTTGTTTCATTGTGAACAACCTGAAGGTTGCGAGTTTAAAACTGAAAACAGCATCTCCAGCAGAAGTAAGACTGTATCTATCTAATTTTCTCCGCACTAGATTTGTCTCTCTTTTAAACGCCTAGGTTTATTTGTACGTTAGTTAAATTCCAGATTTGCATATCTTTAGCCAAACCCCTACTTTTTCTGACACACATCATTGTGTCCCTCATTATGTAACGGACCGACGAGATGGTCCGAGATATTTTTTGCTGACATTACCAAAAAAGTAATATATAATGCCCAAATTGCCCTCCTCGTTCCCTCTAATTTTATTTAAGAATTTCCCCCAACAATAAGGGTATATTAGTCTGTTCATTCTTTATCAAGTCTAACTGAAGTATAGACAAACTTGAAGGGGTCTTAAATGAAATTTACCAAATTCAAATAAAGAAATGATTAAGTACCTCACTCATAGGAATTTTGATAGCCCCTTTGGCACCTACTTTGACAATTAGCTCTGAGACTGTGTCATCAGATGAGAACTCATCATCATCCTCTCTCTTGAGGCCACCATATTGAACTGGTATATTTTCTGGTGCTATATATCTACATACATTAAGCAAATGAATTTATCAGATTAGGAAGATGAAAGAAGAATCAAACATATATATACATATATGAATATTTATATTTATATTTATATATGATTTAATCTCACTTGACAAGGGTCTCAGTAACCCTTGATGGCCTGGCAAAAATGAACTTGCTTTTGTTTCTTTGAGTAATGAACTGCCAATGTAATGCATGGCACATGAAATTCCAAAATGGAACATTTATAACTATCTGCAATCCAAAAAAAACATAATTCAACGTTGTGAATCCGATAACTATGCTAAAAAAAAATATGGTCTCCCACTTACATTCTTGAAGATGAGTTCAGGATAATATTCTTGAAGTAGCATCATTGTTTTCCTGTTGCTCAAATGTAGCTCCTTCATGGCTGGACCAGGTGAGTTCTTCAAATCTGTGATCTGAACAATGGCGTCGACCCCACCGGGATTGAAGCTGAGTTCTTGGATTCCCTTCTCCATGAATTGGATTCTCCATCTGAGGCAATCCTTGAAATTTTCTCTCGAACCAAACGTTTTCATGTACAATTCTTTGTCTTTTAATGCTCCACATGTAATGTAACACACAGGGTGTCCTTGTTTGTCTGTGCCATTTATGCAAATCAAATTTTCTAGATGAGAACACAGGTTCTCGTCAAGAATTCCCTCTGCGTTGAAATCTCTCCGCCATTTCAATGTTCTCTGAAGCATTTTGAATGCCTCGGAGACCTTAAAGTCTTTGGTTTTCAAAAATTTCATTAGGACAACGTTGGTCCCTTCATGGCCTTTACTAGGCAATAAAGGGACGCCCCAGAGTGTAATGTCTTTCAAATTTTCTCTTTCCTTGCCATTTTCCCTCGAACTTTTTCCTTTCCTCTTTACCTTGCCACGTTTTCCTTTCTTTTTCCCGAGAATATAATTGTTGTGAATTGCGTCTTCCACCCTGCTCCGTAATTCGAGCAATGCCTTCTTCCTCGATGGCCTCAGTTTCGTAAAGCTAGGGTTTTCGTCCTCTTCATAGATCGTTTCAACATTTTCTTGACTGGTTTCTCCTTCATCTTTGGTGTCTTCTTCCTCTTCTTCAGCACACGAGGGAAACACTTTTCCATCCGGCATTTTCTTGGTTTCCAGACCTTTGGGTCAGAATTCCGGCATCCAGCGAAAGCAATCGCTGGAAACGAAACCCGAAACCAAGAAGTGGTCGGATTGTTTGGAAGCAGAGAAAAGAGTTCAATGAAATTTTCCTTTCCTTTCTAGAGAGAAGCAGAGGCTGGCCTTTTTCTCAGAAAGGATGTGTTTTTAAGGGTCCGCAAATATAGTGGCAAAAGTTCCAACGGTTACTTAGCTGGCGCTTGGATTAATTACAAGTCAGCAATCCGTTAGGTTTTATGAGGAACTGGTTGACTCCTACTGAAATGTTGGAATATTTTGAGTGTTTTACCAGAAATTTGGTATTGATTTGAAAGACTTGCACATTTTACAACTATTAATTTGAAAGACTTACACATTTATATTTACCAAAAAAAAAAAAAAAAGACTTGCACATTTTACAACTGTCCAACATAGATATTGAATCGATGACCCAAAAAAAGAAAAGAAAAGAAAAAAAAAAAAAAAAATCAAAGGCAGAGTAAATCCAATAATAAAATAATAATAAAATGAAATAATAAGTATAGAATGTGACCATCTCGATGGCTCGAGGAAATCAGGAAACCGAGTTTGGATTGGTTGAATATTAAGTTTATATATATATATATATATATATATATATATATATATATATATATATATATATATAATTTTTAAAATCAAAAAAATATATATGTTAAAAGGATGTCCTATCACTATCTTGGAAAATACTAACAATATTGAACCAAATAAAATAAAAATTAATAAACATGGAACAATAGTTATCCAAACATATCCCATATATATATATATATATATATATATATATATAAGAAGTAGACTCGTAAGCATAGTCCCATCTTACTGTTATTAATTTTTTACTTAATTCTCTGCTCATCTTTCTGTTTCAGACTCAAATATAATTATAAATCTTATCTCAAGCTTATTACAAGGTTCAGCAGGAAAAAAAAATGGTACGTGACTCCTAAAGAAATCAGAAATAACATATGCATACCAAACACAACGCTTCACTTCTTTTTGCCTTTTACTCCAATCAAGAAATGTAAATTTAAAAAACTCAACTAAAAATGGTACTTCTTTTGTTCCCAACATTGACAAGAGAGAGACACTGCAGTATTGCACATCACAGTGAGTTGATGTCATTGAACTATAACCAACACCTACCATTTTTACAAGCCTTTAAAGGAACTGGGCACCTACTGCCTACCCATTTACAGACTTACAGTATAGTTGGACATCGCAGATAGTTACAAACCACTGCAACCCACAGTTAGCCGTCCCGGTATTTGGTCAGGTCGAAAGTCAATGTCCTCGAGCAGCTGGAAAAATGAACAAGTACGTATAAGCATTTGGATTTTTTTTTTTTTTTTTTTTTTTTTTTTTAATGGCAAATTATGTGGTTGACATGCCGGACTACAACCTAAAAATACTAGGTGAATAAACTCACCTTCTCTCAGAATCCCTGTAAACCCCAACCAAAGCTTCGGCTTTGTCATAAAAGCCGTCCTTGAGTGAAATCACGATACTCTGGAAACCATTGCCTCCTTCAGCGTCCAGATTACACCGGGCTCCCTCGCATGATTTTGATCGGATAAATCCAGCAACCTTAGCAACATTCAAATTATCCAATGCAGCATCCACTTCATCCAATATGAAAAATGGCGAAGGCCTATAGCTGAAAAATATTATGGACAAAAGTGGTAAACCATTAGTTCTTGGAGAAATATACACAAATTTAAAACACTAGATTCCTTGATCCTTCCATGACACGCTTATATTTGTGCAGAAAATCAACAAGATATCAGAGAGGAAATGAGACTACACCTTCACCCATGCTATTAAGAACAAAATTAGCTTTCACATTTTGGGTCAGAAATTGGTAGCCACGTCCCAAAAACAAGAAGAAAAATAAAATTGAGAGAAGCTGGTTTAAGCATGTTCCTATAGTTTAAGGTTCCATCAAAGAACACAAGTATTCACGCATTCTTTTATACATACCTGTGGATGGAGAAGAGTAATGCAAGTGCTGCAACAGTCTTCTCACCACCAGAAAGCTGTTCCATATCACGGAACCGCTTCGTTGGGGGCATAGCAGTGTACTTGATGCCATGTAAGAATGGTTCATCCTCATTATCCAAGTTCAAATATGCTGTTCCACCCAGAGGGTGTGTGTTGCTTTTTGTAAGTTGTTTGTAGATTTTATCAATATTACCAGAAATATGGTTGAAAGCTTCCATAAACACTTCATACCTGCATTCACCATAATAAACCCAACTGAATTATCAATCCAATATCATACAAAAAAAAAATCAGCAGGAAGTGTTGCAGAAAAAGGAAATATAAAGAAAAACAATTTCATTGGCCTTGCTTATATTGATAAGCATGTATACCGGGCATTCCTCCGCATGTTACAGGAGTAGTTATAGATCCACAGTGCCATAGAAACAAGGAACTGTGAGAATTATACTGTAAACAAATATTACCATTTTATTAGAACTATACAAGTGATGACAGGCTAAAAAAATTAAATTTCAGGTAATTTGATTCATGAAGGCCTCTGGAGTCTGGACGCTTTCATTTTCTCGTGAAAGGCTTGTGGCCTCTCTTCTACAGCAACAGGCATCAGAAGGAGAGTAATTAAAAATCAGTTTCGTTGGAAACCCCAAGATGCGGCGGTGTTTTTTTGGAAAGTTCATATGTTAAAATTTGTCTACAAAAGGTTCAATAGTGTCTTGGTCATTTAAACTTTTAATAAATCAATTGTTACTAGATACGGACACAACTTTTTGGAAAGGCAGTGCATCTCCTAAAAGTTTACATCAATCATTGCCTATTCATGGGATCAGAGGAGGTTTGCTCCATGCATGTTAGAGCCAACATCGTCCCTTCACCAAAACAGAGGTTCAATGAGTTGATGACCTGCTGAATTTTTCCTTAAAAATTAATTTAAGGATTCAATGCGAAGTTTGAGTAGGACCCTGTTATTATGGTAGTCACAAAATGGCTACAAGTTAAAGATTTCAAGAGACCAACTCAACCCCATGGTTAGTCACAAAAAATTTATAAAAACTTAGTGATTAGTAACAACATTTAGATGATTCTATATATTATAGACATAATAATGCATAGAGGCACAGTTACATACCAGTACTGTAGGTGCGCGCAATTATTAATAATGGATTTGAAATTAGCAGTGAAGGAATCCATTAACTCATGGTGAATAAAATCAACATAAAGTGGTTTTTATCATAATCATCGTTTGATTATATACCAGAAAATTGAAGAATCCAAACCTCCTTCATAAGCTCAAAGTAATCTCACTGTTTTCCTTTTCAATTATGGCTTATGGAATTTAATGATTTGGATAACCTTCCATACAATTTATTTAGAGACACAAATCTTGATAATTAGCAGACATAACAAGAAATTTAATATTGCTTTGGAGAGAATGATAGTGAAAATAATAGTCCATTAAGCCAGATGATTCCTTAGTTCAGATGAGGAGAAATTGTATTTTCTAAGGAAAGACATTCTGTGGATCTCTTTCTGCAGGACCTTAAAGAAGACTATCCAGCAACACAAGTTTGGAAATAGATGGGTCCTACCAAGGTGGCTTTCATTGACTGGCTGATGGTCTCAACAAAAGTCTCACCACTTACCACCTCATTAGTAGGACTTTGAGAATTCCAGATTGATGTTGCATGTGCAGAGCACCATGGTCATACTTGTAAGTGATCTTGGAATCAACATTGGCATTCTTAAATTCTGTGGTTGACCTAATTAAGGTCTGGAGTTTGATTCTTTAAATCCAGAATCAAAGAGCCCCTCTTCTCCTTTTGTTAAATTTAAAAGGAGAAATGATACGTTTACAACCTTGACTCGAAAGAATGTGGGTTCAAGATAGACTCTTAGTTTATAAAACCAGAGTTTTTTTTTTTTTTTTTTTTTTTGGATTAGTTAATAATTATTTAATACACTGACTGATGGAGTAGGGATTCGAACCTGGGCCTTTGACCACAAGCAACACATGCCCTACCACTGGGCTATCACACCACATCCTTTATAAAACCAGAGTTTGTCTTAAAAGGCAACAAATAATTCCTTGTTAAGCTCGATAAAAGGTTGTTTTGGATTATTTTGTTCTCAAGGATATTACTTGCACAATCGCAGTCAGAATTTTTTTTTTTTTTTTTTTTGGATGGTAATTGCAGTCAGATTCATCTCGCCTTTCTAATACATTGCATATAAATATATATTATAAGAAAATTTGAATGCTAAATAAGTTTTTTTAATTATAAATGGTACAGAAGATTTTCTTTTGACTAACCTAGCATTTTTGTCAGGCCAGCTTCAAACCAACTTCATTCATAAATCATGTAATAGTCACTTCTCTAAGCGATTTATCTGAGAGTCTTCCTCCGGTACTTCTCATTATCTGAGTTATTCTTTTCTTTCCCACTCTTCCTTTATAAAGATTCTCATCCTTGCTCCTTTATTTATCAAATGATTCTAATTAAATTGTCTTTTAAAAATTATAATTTTATGAAATATTATATGAACTTGGATTATTATATGTGTGAGAGCCTACTCTAATAAAATAATGATTAGTACCTCCTCTGTTTCACTGAATTGTATTTGTCAGTTATTTCCCTCTCTTCTTTCCTTGCTGCTTCAAACTCTTCAGTTACAACTCTTTCTTTCTCCTTCAAAGCCTCGTATTGGTCCAGGGCCTTCAAATTTGGGGCTGTTCTTTCAATTTCTGATATTAGTGCATCAATTTTTCGATTGAATTCCGCCTCAAGCTTCTCCCTCTCAGAAGGTCTCATATCCTGCAGATGAGATCTACCTAGCTGACTGAAATCAAAGACGGGACCTGGCGTTGATGATTCAGTATCCATGGGGTCAGAGATAGTGGGAAGGCTTATATGCTCTAATTCACACTTTTCCAATATCTCTTGCTTCCTTGAGTTCAACTGATCAATTTGTGCCTCCTTTAAAACCATAAAAAAATTGTTAGCGACATGATAAATTTATCAACACAGTGTACGCAAGTTCACAACAATCTTTCTGAAAGGGAAACCATTAAGACTAACCTTTGATTTCATTTGACGAGTAAGTTTGCTTACGCTAGTTGTGGCATTAGAGCACTGTTTCTTCCATTCCATTATTTCCTTCTCACAATCTTCTGATTTGGACTTCCATTCTATATGATCAGCAAGAGGGTAAAAATCAACAAATTGGTAGCATACTCATCAAAGTTGAGCAAACTTTATAAGAGAGTATATAGAGATCATTTTGGAAAACTTTTGCTTTAAAATAAGCTTCCACTTGAAAATTCAAAACAATTACAATTTTGACTTCCACCACATATACCCAACAACAAGAACATAATGAAATAGAAAAGCATAATGAAAAAGAGGAAAATGTTGGAGAGGTTGTCCTATTGAAAGTTTATCATAAAATATTACATAATATTTTAGCAGATTAGTGTGCTGTTTTTTTATTGATCTTGTAAATGACGTTATATGTTCTTGATATCAAGTTTATTTTCTGCATCAATTTTTTTATTATTTTCACATCTAAATTTTTCGTTATTATTTCAGACCTTTTTTTAACCATATCTTTGCTATTACCCCATTCTGTTCCAAAGCAACCAACCGATTACAATGTAATCCTCGAGTTGGTGACCTTTGAAATTTGAGATTACAAGCAACCAACCGATTACAATGTAATCCTCGAGTTAGTGACCTTGTAATTTATGATTATATCTCCATGTTAAATTGAAAACACCGACAAGCAGACAAACCATTGGAAGTCATCAACAAATATGTTTTTCTTAATAAGTAGAAGTCATCAACAAATATCACAGCGTACAACCAATAAAACTTTGTATCATAACATATGGGAACTGAAAACATACCCTGTACTTCCTTCTTCCATTGATCGATCTCATCAGCAGCTTTCTCCATAGATGACTTTAGTTCATTTTCTTTTGCCTCAACCTGTTTCAAAGTACTCTTTAAATCACTGATAGAAGATTCCAGCTTTGTAATTCGTGATTCCATATCCCGCTTTTGCTCATACTCCAACCTAGAGGGGGAGGGGGAAATAAAAGGAACATGGTTTAAAATCCCATTATCCAGGCACTGATGTGCCAAAGCAGGCAAACAAGGAGTTCACAAGCTCGAGCGATCCAGGGAGGGGGGGAAGAATATTAAATACCTTCGCACTAAGCAATTAGCTGCTTATATTAAAATAATAATAGTAACACATCAAACAAAAACAATAAGAGTACTCCATTGACAAGACTCCTTGTCCCAGACACGAGATTTTATAAAATTCAAAAGACAAGCAATCAATGAAGAGTTTGGAAAGCTGTCAAAATTTTATTAGCAAAACGGTCATTAGCATGGTGCAATTCCTCACTTCATATAAACAAGCCCCAGTTTGGTTCATTCTTGTCACAACCCACCCCACCCAGTGTCGATATTGTCCATTTTTCATACTCTCTGTGCTCAAAGTTTTCAAAACTCATCAATCCATCGAGGAGGTGTCCACACATATAAGTGCCAACTTCTCCTCCTCCCAAGCCATGTGGGAAGTTACAATAACCCTCACTTGGGACCCTGCATCCTCGTTGGCCTAACCATCATGCGTTTTTGGACACTGCCCACATTTCCCGACTAGGGACCGGCTCTGATACCATCTATCACGACCTGCCCACCTTGTGTAGATATTGTCCGCTTTACATGCCCTCCATTATCACAGTTTTCACAACACGCCTTCACAGTTAGGAGACATCCACACATATAAGTACCAACAACCTCTCCTCCCAGGCAATGTGGGATGTCACAATCACCTCCTCTTGGGACCCAGCATCGTCGCACGTGCTTGTGCACGCTCCTCCCATTTGCAGCTAGGGATTAGCGTTGATACCATCCAACTCATTTCTTGAGTGGGAAAAGGATCCTGAACCAGCTCTCCTCACCATCTCCATACTCGTCACTTTACTAAGATATTTCAAAGAGAGGGTTATTGTGACATCCCACGTGCACGGAGAGAGAAGTTGACACTTATATATGTAGACAGCTCCTAACTGTATAGATGCATTTTGAAAACTGTGAGCATAGAGTGTGCAAAGTAGGCAATATCTACACAAGGTGGGGACGGTATCAGAGCCAATCCCTAGCCAGAAATGGGGGGAGAGCGCACAAGCCCATAAGGGCCACGCTAGCAAGGGCGCTGGGTCCCAAGAGAGGGTGATTGTGACAACCCATGTCGCCTAGGGAGAGGTCGTTGGCAGTTATATGTGTGGAAGCTTCCTAACTGTGTAGACATGTTTTGAAATCTATGAGCACGAAGAGTGTGCAAAGCAGACAGTATTTACACAGGATGGGACGGGTCGTGACAATTTTCATATAAAATAAAAATTCTCTGAAATAGCCACAAAGATAATTTAAATACTAAAAATTGATATAAGAATGCTAGGAAGGTTGTCAAGTGTTTGCTTAATCATAATCCTTAGCAAAGCAGCTTTAGATAAGGTACCTCACTTGGTGGTCGAGAATTTTTTATATCAACTTCAACAAAAAATGAAAAAGCAAAATAGAAGGCATAAAGAAAACATATACAATATTTTGATGGTGCATGCTTAACATGTGGATTTTAGGATCATTAAACAACCTTTTGTTAGTATTTTTCAACTTTATTCAGGAGACGCCAAATAAAAGGTCTCATAATAATGGCAATAACTACCAGGGAGATACAAGGTGAGTTCATGAACCAAGACGAAGACCCCAGTCAGGCTTCTGGCTTCCATTCCCATCATCTATTTGAGGATAAATGTCATTTGTATCATCACTCACCAGCAATTAATACAATACATCCAAGTCTTAAAAGACTGAATTTCAATCACCATTGTATTAATTAGTCCCTCTGTCCCATTTTGATTGTCCCTTTTTGGAAATCTAATTTTTTAAGGTGATTACTTTTAGTGTTTTTTTTATTGTATTGGTAGTGAATGAATTACCAAATCTAAGCATAGTGGGTCCACTTAATGTGATGGTTTACTTTTTATAAGTTTAATGCAAGAAGGTTAAATTGGTAATGTTACAAAAAATAGTATATTGACATTTTAATTGGGACAATTATTTTGGGACAGCTAAAAATGAAAAAGTGGACACTTATTGTGGGACGGAGGGAGTATATTATAAGATGGAACATCTTCAGAATCAGGAATAACTTATCCAACATATCATCAGTAAATCTGGTATAATATTTAATGGACCGCGAACAAATATCTTCACTATTTTAATCCTCCTTCCCTGCCTTCACATGCCCACAATTCTTAATACACTGCCAGACTCATTCTAAAGTTTAATACCTAACCATGGACAAGGGAGCTAGAATTATTAAATTACCACAGTTATCCAACCAAAAGGTACAAATATATTTTCTTTCCCATTATATATATCATGACTAATGTAATGTCAGGCCTTCGGATTGGAAATCACGAGCATCTGAAGCTCAACCTTATGATGCAGCTAGTTAGAATCTTCTATTTATTCTGACACTCGTGCTCCTAACGTGCAACTGTGTGTCACTTTCTCAGAACCATGTAAAAAACAATTTTGGAAAACTGCAAATCTCTTGCAAAAAAACCTCAAACAAACTAAATTTCAACATGTCAAAATACTTGATAGATTTATTCAGGGAAGTAGTAGACAGTAAAAGAAAAGAGAGCACTTTGGCTAAGAAGTCTTGAAATGCAAAATTCTAAAATAGAACCAAGTGCTCTATTACTCAACTTTTTGCAATTAAAGTAGATAGTTATTATCAAGTCAAATCTTCATACAAGAAACAATTTGACGAAGGACAGCCTAAATAAGTTCTATTCTAGGCTAAATCAAAATAGAGAAGTGCAGGGTTAACAAGTCAAAATAAGGTAAAGAGATTAAGGTTGACAAATCAATGATTAAGCTTTTGCTTCAGGTTGTTAATTAAAGACGGTGAACAGCGCTGTAGCAGAAAAAAGTCCACAAAATAAGAAAATAAATAGCGATTAAAGGAGACAACATGGGCTTGAGTGCCTGAATCTCTCTCTCACACAGACACACATGCACGTGCACACACACAAGAGAAAAGAAAAAACAATGTCATCGCTATAAAGAAAGCACAAAAGTAACCACAGATAAACATACTGGTATTTCAACTTTGACTGCTGATGACTCAAACTAAGCCTTTGGTCAGCCATCTGCTCAACAGCCTTGAGCTGGTTTTCTTCATACTCGCGGATATTTTTCACCCCAACAGACTCGCTGAATTTCTTGTAGGTTCGGTCAACTATCTCATTGATCCTCTTCTCTAGTGACGAGATCTCTGAAGCCCTTTTAGTAATTTTATTTGACTTCTGCAAGCAGAACAAAAACCCATCAAAGTCAGCCAGTTACTAAGTTGATAACACAATAAGCTAGACGAGGAGTATAGTCACAAAAGTACCTCACGAACTTGAGGAGTAATATGATCAATTTCTTTTATGATATTAGACATTTCCTGCTTCAATTTTGAAAGTTTGTCCTCAATACTTTTCTGCAAAAAGGAAAAGAGAGAAGTTTCAGGTAACCTACTATATCACAAGAAGCATTTATCAACAGAAGAAATTCTTGGTAAAAATTACAAAAGTAACAAGTATCTTGATATCTGCACAGAAAAATACAACTCAACTCGACAAAACCATTATACTAATAACTACTTGAGAATGGCTATACAAGACACTTTCTGCCACTCTAATAAATCTAAAGACCATATTTTTCTGCCGATTCATCAAACACACACCCTTGTCCCAGACCTTAATGCCCTTTAGCCTGTCACGGTAGTGCCACCACCATGAAATATTAAATTTTTACCAAGAAAGTAAGAAGTATTCACTACAATTTTTTTTTTTTTAAATGAATAACAGGTATTCATTATAAATGATACCATAAATTCACACCTAACTCTCACCTTGACATCAATCAGTACTACATCTAACATCCTAGGATTGCATTCATGTTAAATTATATATCATCTAACAGGGAAATGATCCATTTCAACATCCCCATTTCAACTCCCATGTTTATTTCGTGAAGATACTAATCCCGGACTACCCAGCAGTCACAACCATGATAACCAGAAACAGTCTTAAGGCACCCTTGAACAAGGGATGCCCAACATGGCAAATTCTGAATTCAAATCACAGGCATGACTTGGCCTTGTGTATTTCGCTTGGGCTTCGCTCCCCTTTTGAGTGCTTTTATACGATTTTACTTATCAAAAAACAAAAAAAAAAAAATCATAGGCACGACTGTCCATAATATAATTATATATGAATCTTCTTTTTACTTTATGGCTATCTTTAAATTTCTTCCATATATCCCCTGCAGTACACATGTGCATAATGTAATCCCATTGGAATCAACTAAGTTGTGATTGGTCAAGAACAATTTCCAGAATTTGATGGAACAAAAGTATACAGAAAATGAATTTTTTTTTTTGTTTTTTCGGAAATTAGTATACAGAAAATGGTAGCGATGATTGTTATATCAGAATTTTAGAGTGACACTATAAAAACCAAGTAATCACTGTTCAAGTATATAGGCCACATTTTTCAAACTTCAAAGTTGAATTTTGGGGTTCCAAACCATAACCAATGAGTCTTCACTAGCAGCAATAAGAGCCCCAGAGAACGAGGAGAGAGAGGACAAAACATTCTCACTTAGTGCTAAGGTCACCATAAGATGCAATTTATGGCTTCTTGGGAGAAGCGATTTAAGATTTCTTGACATTATAAAATAAGGAACAATAGGAGTTTCTCTGGCAACTATTCTTTCCTCCTCCTACTCAGCTGCTGCTGCCACATTACGCAAACTACAAAACCCAAAAAAAATTGAACAAAATGAGGGATATCTTTTTTTACATTCACTTTTTCCTTCTTCAAGGAAAGAGAGTACATTTTTCATATAGACCCTATGCCCCTTTTTATGTGATTTTAGAGCCAACAAATGAAGAATATTTTTGTCTTCCCTACTCCACCTTTAAGTGCTGGGATCAGGTGTTGTGCGTATTGGAAGTCTTCCAATCTAAAAAAAAAAAAAAAAATTAGATGTGCCACGGCCATATGTTTACAACCTCTTGTAGACAAATAGCTGGACTATAATGGGGTTGTCTTACAAATATAGGTCTCAGCAATTAAAACAACATCACAGACAAAGAAAGAGTACTTCTGCCTTGTCAGAATCTATGTTGTTATAATGCAACCGAACTTAGCATCCCAATTGCCTCTTTCAAACACCAAACATGTCATTTTCACCAACAATGCAAATTCCCAGATTATTCTTGCTACTAAAAACCCCATATATGTTATTATCATCTTCAGCGCACAACTTTTATTCTATGTGTAGGTACCATTTTCTAAATGATACTTGAATTACTTGAACCGAATAATTGGTAAATAAACTCAAGTCCTAACATCTGCACAACAATCACTTTGTACGCTTTCAGGTCAGTATAGTTAAAACATACACATTGGCAGACTGAAATCATTACAACAATACTACTTCATGCCGGACTGAAATCAGGTACCTAAGAATAACTAAAGCTCAGTTCAAACTCAAGTTGAGCACAAAACTTCAACCAATCTTAATTCAACTCAAACTCAAAAGCTCAAGGCATTAATTTAAATCTAGAAACAAGCACGAAATTAGCTGGGCCTGATCAACAATCATACTGACTAGAGTGAGTAACCACTCACAACAACATTATTTAGTAATAAATTTAGCGCAATAAACTACTTAAGATGCTAAAATCAAAAGACCTTTTCTATATCAACTCATGTTCCCAGGATAGAGCAAGAAGCTACCATCAAAGCTTACGGGTGACTCTGCCATCAGTCTCACGTCACGTATAGCTTAGTTCAAACAATAATTAAATTGCATATCCGCAACCATTCCAGACAAAGCTCTGGTTCCACCAAAATCCACTACCGACCATTCAATAACAATAGAAGAGGTAAGCAACAAGGTAATCTCATGGAGCTCTAGCTGTGGAAAGCAAAGTAGCCATCTTCAGCAATGACCGAGGAAAATATGTGTTGGTTACATAAACTAGTCTACAGACTGAGTTCTATCTATATAAGATATGTTTCACAGTTTGAAGTGCTTTAATGTATCCCCTAAATTTTTCCAAAATTTGGCCCTTGTATATTTTATACAATAGTTCCATTTTCAGCTAGCACAAACACACCCCAAACAAAAGGCCTGACGACACCTCTGTTCACTAAATCTTAAAGGTTCATTTCACTCTTAAGTAGTGACAGTACTAAGCAGAACTGGACAGATATCATTGAAAAGAAACATTACCTCAAAACCAGAAAAATAAAAAAGGAGAAAAAGAACAATAAATAAGAGCAATATGACCGTGCTGGTGAAAGATAGAAGTGTGCATGCATGCAGAAACATATAGATTACTTGCTCTGATTACCTTCTCAATCTCTGCATACTGAATCTTCTTTTCAAGTCCACTAATTTTCCCAGATGCTTCAGACTCTCTCAACTGCATTTCTCTAATAGATCCAAGCTCTTCCAATTCCGACTCGAACCCCTCCTTTTTCTTTTTAAGTCCTATTAAATGGAAATAATTAGTATTGTTGCCAAAAAAAAAAAAATGAATACAACATGTAGATAAATAAACCCACGAACCTTCAATTTTTTTATCATCCCATTTGTGAGACCTAGCTTCCATTCCACCACTAGTACCACCAGTCATTGTACCAGACTTCGTCAACAGAATACCATCAACCGTCACAACTACAAACACGTGAAATTCAATATGTAGTATAAGTTAAGTCTGAATCACACTGAAGAAAAAATAAGATAATTAATGGATTACCTTTAAATCTCTCTCCACTCCAACTAAGAGCCTTTGCTTCATCAAGGTCATCACAAACTAAAGTATTTCCAACAGCAAATAAAATAGCCCTCTCCAAGGCTGAATCAAATGTTAGAAAGTTAAGAATACAAAGTTTGTGCATGTTGGGATTCAGTTCTACATCATATACTATTTCTTGTACATAAGAATGTGACCAAGCTTTAGGTGTAGAGAGTATCAATCCAGGAATAGAGGATGATAAAAACATCATAAGAATGGCTCTAGGTTGTCCTAAGGCACCAAAATTATACTCAGAGAAGTTAAATATCAGGCAACAAAGAACTGTGCCCATAAATCTGAAGTGTAGACCAACTGCACAAACAGAATAGAATATATGAGTGCAGATCGAGTTATGCTAATTACAGAAGATTGCAAAAGCAAAAATGAAAGATCCACATGTGATTTCTATAAACTCAGAGAAGGCATATGATAGAATACCGAGACATATAATTTGGATGGCCCTACAAAGATAAGAAATTCAGAATAATCTTTATTAAAAGTATCGAGAATATGTATTAGAAATACAAGGACAAAAGTCCATAACATACTATATGTGAAGAAACTAATGATTTTTCTTCCTACAGGATTACACAAAGGATCAGCACTGAACTCGTCTGTTCACAATAGTTTTTCTTGGATGAAATAGAAAAAGTGCACCAAAAAATAGTTTTTCGGGATGTTTGAAGGGTTACACCTCTTTGTGTGTGGTGGTGCTTATGGCTTGAGAGGAATAGGAGATATTTTGAGGGAAAGGAGATGTCGACTTCTTTGCTCAAGTTTTCTATTCTTTCTACTCTTTTTTGTTGGGTTTCAGGGAGAGATCATAGATCTTTAGAGGAGATTGCTGATTTCCTGGCCTCTTTGTAGGCCTAGTGGCCCTTTGTGGGTTTTTGTATTCCTTTGGGTTCTGCTCCCCTTCTGAGCGCTTTTATATGATTTTACTTATCAAAATAAATAAATAAATAAGAAGAAAGCATCTGATGATGCATGTTATTGTTGATGGCATAGTTATTATAAAAACTTCAAAGGAAACCCTAATAAGAAAAATAGAAATATGGAGAAATATATTAAGTCATAACATCTTAAAATTAATATAATTAAATAGTACTTATGGAATGTAAACTCAATATAAATATAAAGACCAAAAATATTATGATATTATTCAAGTCCAAAGAATTACTAAAAATAATCATTTTTGATATTTAGGATCAAAATAATAGGAAGTGATAAGGAGATAGATAACAACACAACAGGTAGAAGTGGAACATGCCAGAGACGGACTGGTGGTGTCCAATGTGACGAGAATATCCAATAAGGTAAAATGGAAGTTCTACACGAGGGTCGTCATGCCAACTATCTTATATAATGCAAAATGTTGGGTACTAAAAAGAGCATGTCGTAGAAATTAGAATCTGGAAATGTATGATAGAAAAAACTTAAAGAAACAGAATCATAACAAATATCTTAGAGAGATAATAAATTGACAAATATTAATGATAACATAAGTTAAAGTAGACTTAGGTGGTACAGACATATACAATATAGACCAATAGACGCACAAACAGAAAAAAGAAAAACCAGTTAAAGTAGAAGGTAAGAGATGAAGAGGAGGTCAAAACAAGAAGAAATCCTAAGAAAATAAATATAATAAGAGAGATTACTCGTAACAGGAAAGAGTGGACGGAGAAAATTGATGTGATAGACCCATTCAGCTGGAAACAAGGCAAAGATGTTAATGACATGCTCTGCAAACGAGTTTGGCTACTTGGCCGTCAATACCAGAATTTTCTCATAACAATCCTTAAATTAAGATTTTTATTACAAAAAAACTATTTACCAACTTTTCAAAATCCATGGTATGTTAACCATGATGCATTTGAATTTGCACCAATAAGATTATGACTAGGCGCATTCTTTAAAACTGGAAAACTCAAAAGTCCGACAAAATGTACAATAAAATAACTGATTTTGTGAATAAATGCACAAGGACAAGAATAATATCCCCTAAACTGAGATAATATATACATCATAGAATTCATTTCAAGTATAGGCAGTAGATATAAAAAGTTAAAAAGAGAAAGAAGATTGCATGAATGACAATGTAGATAATTCTATTATGCAATTTACATAAAGAAGCAAAACAGCACATGTGAAGTATCACATTACCATAAATGATAAGCAAACAACCACGTTATAAAAAGGATATTGGATTACATCAAAAATCAGCTTCGCAGTACCACGTAGTGTGCGCAACTTCTCAATGATTGGCTTCACACGGACTGACTGAAGAGGTATAAATGTCTGGGGAGGAAGCCTTTGATCTTTCAAGTACTGCAGACAAGGAAGCCAAATGACATTTAGATCAACACCATTAGGATATAATGAAGAATCAAAAAATTAACCCCATTTTCCGCAATTGCAACCTCAGAGCCAAAGGAATTTCACAATTTGGATTTAAATCTGAACAACTAGCGGACTTAAAGTTCTAAGTAGAGTTGAAATATCAAATATATACTCCATAACCAAGATGTTATGCAGCATATGAAATTCTAATTTGCCTCCCTTTTCTCTGTTTTCTAGTTTACATAAATGTGCAGTCTGACTGACTAGTCATCTTACGCGCATCCCTATCATGCAGTAGAAAGCATTTCTAGGCCATCCATCCAGTCAGAAAGGCCATACACTTTTATGCTCAAGAAAGGCTCAACTTCACACCCCAGCAATATATAAGAATGTTTTTTTTTTTTTTTTTTTTTTTGGTGATTAGTAATAATTGAAATAAAAAGGCGTTCAAGAGGGGAACGCATCCCTTATACAAAAGTGGAACCGGGGGAATAAGGCCCCAAAGAAGCCAAAAAAATAATTAAATCTTCAGGAGAGGAATAGGACTTCCTTTTCACATAACTGAAAAAAGAGCGTAAGATGTGAAGTTTCAGAATCGCCGTGGACGATTCTTTCCCTTCGTACATTCTACTATTCCTCTCCTTCCAAATGCACCACCAGACACAATGTGGTACAACTTTCCAATAATCGCGAGCAGCGCTACTCACACGGCATCCTCTCCAAATACGAATCAAATCCTTAGGATAACGAGGCATAACCCAACGCATACCAAACAGACAAAAGATAAGATTCCAACAATCCCTCGCCATAGGACAATGCATGAGAATATGAGCAACTGACTCACCATCTTGTTTGCAAAGGCAACACCAGTTAACAAGACAGTTGCCCATTTTCCTTAGATTATCAATCGTCAGGATCTTACCCCATACAACGGTCCAAACAAAGAATGCCACCCTAGTTGGAGCCATAGAACGCCAGATAGTCTTCCACAGAAAAATCAACGATATCAAAATCAGAAAGACATAAGAATAAGGATCAAACTTCGAAGCGACCATGGGAAGAAGGAATCCATGTTATGTCATCACAACCTCTGCCAACTGCCTCCTGTCGATACAGCAAATACAGAAAAACACATACCTCGTCCACCTCCCAATCCTGAAAAGAGCATCGAAAGTGCACGTCCCACGTAATCCCACTACTATCAAGCCGATAACAGTTGGCTACGTAGGCATGTCTATCAACTGCAATACTGTATAATCTGGGAAAAAAACAAGATAAAGGCCAGTCTCCACGCCAAAGATCCTCCCAAAAGCGTACACATTTGCCATCACGAACTTTGAATCTGATATGAGGAGAAAAAGCATCCCATCCCTTCCGAATGAATTTCCACGCCCCAACTCCTCCCACAAGAGAGACCGGACGAGTAGACCAACCACCACTCTCTTCCCCATAGCGGCATGAAACAAGCCTTCGCCAAGGGCGATGTCTTTCCTTCCCATACCTCCACAGCCATTTTCCCAAAAGAGCTTGGTTAAAGGGGGCCAGTCTTCTGATACCAAGACCACCAAACTTCATTGGCTTGCATAACAATTCTCTTTGTTACATTAAAAATTTATATTAGACTTCAAAGACATTACAATTCAGTTGACCACCCTTCGTCTTCACAAAACATTACATACATCAGCAACATTACCATATTTGGCATCTCGAGATTCTCACTATGTCAACAATCAAACTCATTGTGCCGAATAATGTAAAGAGTTATAATTTTGATATCAAAATAAAGAATCAAGGGCGCAAAAAAAGGGACCCGGCTTAAAAAATAAAAAAGGGTTTAGCCCAAATCAACAATCAATAAGAAAGCTTCACAAAATGTGATCCTCGTCAATCGAGTCTCAAGGACTGGAATATACCAGATCTTTAACATTATTTGCACACAGTGGGCAAGTGATTGCTCTTACACTTGAACTTGCACTCTCATGCTTGGCAGGGACGGTTTTTACCATTGCACCAAGCAATGGCCCTTAAAAATAGAGCCTTACTAATGCTAAGTTTTCTTGGTTGATTCCGTGCAACCAAACTGGGAGACTGTTAATCTCATCACTAGTATAAGTTTCCTTTAGCCCATTAACTTCTTCCTAAATCTAAAGAACCAAAGGGATGGCAAGATTTGCATGTTAGTCGTTAGATACTCGAACCAAAATCAACCAAACCACAATAATACAAAAACCTCGGGACCTGCAAGAAAAAAAAAATCTTAGGAAAATAAATCTTCATGTCTCAAAAATAATGATACTGAACTCAACTCAAAAGCCTTAACCCAAGTGCTAGGGATCAGCTACAATATCTTACTGCTTCAATCAGCAATTTAAAGCCACAACTTCGATCAAATCCAAAGCAATCATGTAATCTGCTTCCACGCTCCAAAGAAGGCAAAAGGAGTGTTTACACCCAACAATATACAAATAAAGTCAGTCCAGTGTAGCTAACCTATTATTGAAATGGGTTTAAAGCCAATTATAACACATGCTGAAAAGACACAAGACAAAAACTTAGTATATTGTGTTGACCCAAGGCTTCAAATTAAGGGCACATGAAGCATTTTTTATAGCAAATTATTGAAAGTGTTGTATTTAGTGTTTACTTGAGTTTATGCTAAAAAGGTTATACACGTAAGAAACTCAAGTGAGCTCATGGATCAGTGACAAAACCAAGGACCCAATGCTTAAAATATATGCCAAAGCTCAAAAGACATTGAAGTCAAAGATGAATTATCTTAAAGATCAAAAGATATTGAAGTCAAAGATGAAGACTTCAACCTAAATCTTAAAAATTGAAGATCAAATACTAGGGTAGATAGTCTTGGGCGAGTGCTACATTAAATGTAAAGTTATTCTTGAAGCAACTCACTTGAAAAGCTCATATTTTGACTTAGTGGACTCTAGGACCAAATGTATATCATTCATAGCATTCAAAAGTCCTTGGAACCTTAGTAATAGGCCATGAACCTCATTGAGTCAAACTATAAGGCCTTGTCGATTGTGAGTTGGTTCAAGCTTGAGGAATACAACCCTCAACTCAACAAATTCTAGGACCTAGACTTAAAATGAGATATATCATTTATTGTCTCTAGAATCATTGACTTATGTGAGTGGCAAAAATGATAATGTTGAGATGGATGTGCAGTAAGACTATAAATGATAGAATTAGAAATGATCACATTCAGGTGTAGTAGCACCAACTGGAGATAAAATGAGAGAAAAATAGTTAAGATGGTTTGGACATGTGCAAAGAAGACCTTTAAGTGTGCAGGTTAAGAAAAGTGAGATTGTCCAGATTGAGAGAAATACTAGGGGAAGAGGAAGACAAAAGTTAACGTGGGTAGAGTTAGTAAAGAAAGATATGATAGCATGTCGACTAACTGAGGCTATGCCTTAAATAGAGCGGAATGGAAACATAAGATTCATGTAGCCGACCCCAAGTAGTTGGAAAAAGGCATGGTTGTTGTTGTTGTTGTAGAATAATTGACTTAGGCATTGAACTTAATTGCTTTGAAAAGCCTTGGTTCACAATTGAGATTGCACTAAACTTGATATATCCTTAAGATCTCAATTAGACACTAAGTGAAGTCAAAAGAACTTGGATCAAACTGATTCATATCAATTTATGGTCCCTAGATTCAAATTAGGACTCGAACTAGATTGAATATGGAATCCAATTGAGCCAATGTTGAACTTAAAAGAAGGAGAGCATCTTAAAGACAGACCAATTTAGTCAATTGCCCTATGAGCACCAGTCGACGTATTCATTCCAGTGGGATCTCTAGTTTGAAGCTTAATTGGTTCAATCGACTCATGATAGAATATTACTACTCATTTTAACCAGAGAATGGCCATTACTGACTTCCTTGAAGTCAGTTGACTCATCCATAAATCCTTAAAGTCCTAAGTAAATATGGAATCGAATTTAGCCAATGTTGAACTTAAAAGACAAGCCAATTACATCAACTGTTCTATGAGAACCAGTCGAGTTATTCATTCCAATGGGATCTCTAGTTTTGAAGCTAAATTGGTTCGGTCGACTCATGATTGAATATCAAAAGACTCATTTTAAACAGAGAATGGCCATTACTGACTTCCTTGAAGTTAGTCAACCGATCCCAAAAAATCAGTTGCTCTTGGTGCCAGTCAACTGCTTTCGATATACTTAAAAATCTAACGGCTATATTTTGAAATGTGACTATAAATTTTTTTTTGATAAATAAAGATTTTATAAAAAAAGGCTCAAAAGGGGAGCGGAACCCAAGAAAAATACAAAAAGCCACAAAGGACTCAAGCCTTCAAAGAGGCCAAAAAATCAACAATCTCCTCCAACAATCTATGATCTCTCCCTGAAACCCAACAAAAAAGAGTGGAAATAATCGAGAATTTAAGCACCAAAATCGACATCGCCTTTCCTTCAAAATATCTTCTATTCCTTTCAAGCCAAATACACCACCACACACATAGCGGTGTAGCCCTCCAAGCATCCCGACTAAGAGCCCCCACAAGGCAACCTCTCCACGCCTCAATCAAACCCTCTCGCAGATCCTGGCATAACCCAAGAAAACCCAAATAAGCCGAGCATCAAATCCCAACAATCTCTAGCCAAAGAGCAATGAATGAGAAGGTGATCTACTGATTCCTCATCACGAAGACACATATAATAACGATTGATCACCACCTGGCTTCTCTTTCGCAAATTATCCTGGGTTAAGATCCTACCCAGAACCGAAGTCCACACAAAGAAAGCCACCTTGAGAGGAGCCTTGGAACGCCAAACAGACTTCCAAGGAAAACGAACATCAGGATCAAAAGAGAGACACTTGAAGAAAGACCTCACCTCGAAACGCCCCTAAGAGTTTGCTGCCCAAGACCAACAATCCGAATCCTCCTCCACAATCCTTTGGCGATACAGCAACTCCAAGAAACGAATGGCCTCCTCGATCTCCCAATCCTGAAAGAAACGCCTAAATCGAACATCCCAAACCAGTCTCCCATTATCAAGATGATAACAGTCGGCCACCATGGCCTGCCTATCAGAAGCAATCCTGTAAAGCTGAGGAAAAGAGAGAGCAAGAGGAAAATCTCCACACCACACATCCTCCCAAAAGCGAATCATCCTCCCATCTCTAAGTCGAAACCGAATGTGTTTGGAAAATTCATCCCAACCCTTCCGAATAAATTTCCGAACCCCGACCCCCCGAGGATCCCGCACTTCCAAAGAACTCCACCCTCCTCTCAACTCCCCAAAACGACACGCCACAACCCTCCTCCAAAGCCAATGTCTCTCCACACCAAATCTCCACAACCATTTCCCAAGGAGGCCTTATTAAAAGGCACCAATCTACGGAGACCCAACCCACCATTCCGAATAGGCCTGCAAACCTTTTCCCTTCACACCAAATGAAACTTAAACTCTTCACCTCTACCCCCCCACAGAAAATTACGCTGCAACCTCTCAATCCTCTCCGCAACTCAAGATGGAATATAAAAAAGAGAGATAAAATAAGTGGGAAGGCAAGAGAGGGTGCTCTTAATCAGAGTGACCCTGCCGCCCTTGGAAAGATACTGCTTCTTCCAACTCGCTAACCTTCTCTCGAATCTGTCCACCACTGGGTCCCAAATCCCAACACATCTCAAAGGAGCACCCAGAGGCAAACCTAAGTAAGAAATGGGAAATGACCCAGTCAGACACCCAAGAATGTCCGCAAAAGCCTCAATCTCAGGGACCTCCCCAACCGGCACCAAAACACTCTTGCCCACATTCACCTTAAGGCCGGAGACAACTTGGAACCAAATCAAAATACATCTCAGATATCTAATATGGGACACATTCGCATCACAAAGAACTAAAGAACATTTAAATACTCTATGTAAAGAACATTTACAAGTGACAAAACAAGACAGAGAGAGATCTACCACTTTGCATATACTTGATCATCGTCTGTTGGTAGACAATACCATTGAGCTTAAAAGATGAAAATCATTCATTGGTAGCAACCACTAGCGAGCTTAACACTTGAATATCTTTCATAGTGGTTAAATCCTAGAGATGAACTTTCATTTGAGCACTTCATTTCTTACTCTAGGTATGTGAGCTTAAATGTGTATATCCATCTTCAAAGTAGGCCTGGCAATATTTGACACGACACGCTAACACGACACGAGATAAGCGGGTTAGGGTCTGGGTTAATCGTGTTCGTGTCATAATCGTGTCGACACGAATTGACCCGCTAACTAAACGTGTCGTGTTCGTGTTTGACCCTGTAAACACGATTATGACACGCTTAACCCGATTAACTAAACGTGTCGTGTTCGTATCAAAAATGACCCATTTAGCAAAATATGTTGTATTCGTGTCGAAAATGACTTAAATGTGTCTTTTTGTGTCGTGTCAAATCTTGACCCATTTATTAAACAAGTTATGCGTGTCGTGTCGGGTTACACGTATAATAATCGTGTCGTGTTCGTGTCAAGGGTTTTAGACACGATTAATAATCGTGTCGTATTCGTGTCAATCCTAATCGTGTCCGTGTCGTAATCGTGTCGACACGAACACGAATTGCCACCCCTACTTCAAAGAGATATCATTGTATCACTCTATGCTTCATTTGTTTATGTATTAAGAGTGAAAAGACCAAGTGAAGGGAATTGCACTTGACAAAAGAGCTTTGGGAAAAGCTTATAAAGGTATACTCTCTACATGCAAGTGAGAGTGGATAGGTGTGTGCTCCACCCGTAAGAGTGAGCAATTCAGGTGTACTCTCTACCCGTAAGTGAGAGTGGATAGGTGTGCCCTCCACTGGCATAAATGAGCAAAGTTAGGTGTACTCTCCACCCGTAAAAGAGAGTGATTAGGTGTACTCCCCACCCACAAGGGAGAGTAGTTGTAATAGTTTGCTCTTCGCCAATAAGAAGAGCTCCATAGCGGATTTGGGAATCCTCGAGAGGTATTTTCAGACGCGGGCGTAGGCCGAAGTGTTGAACCACATTTTTTTTTTTTTTTTTGATAGATTTATATGTGTATATATGTGTGTGAACCACGTTATGCCTTTGGTTTTAGCTTCTCTTATCCCTTATCCTTTTTACTTTAGATAATGTTCATTATATTTTCCTATACTTGACTGTTGAATTATTTAACTATATGTCATGCCTAACCAAAAAGCATAAATAACTTATTAAAACTATAGTCTTGTTTTTATTCTTCACCATTAATTATGTAAAAGTAATCACTTTAACTTGTGCTTATAATATTATATTCTTACTTCACTATTATAAAATATATATATTGTATTCTTACCTTGCCTAATTGATCATTCAATCACAAACTTACAAATTAATCTAGGAGTCAACTTATGTACTCGTCAATTAACAACCAAAATGTCACCTGCACGACTAAAGGAAATCACCAACTGAATGTGTTTGTCATAGACCCAAATAAGTCATTGATGGTGCTCCCTATCATTCCTGTTTTTCATTTATCTTTCCCTCCACTATGGTTATTTTAGTCGGACTATCCCTCAACTTAGTTGTAATTTTTAAATTTCTCTATCCTTCTAATTTCTTGCAAGATTTTATCATCACGTGCAATCTTCAGTTGTAATTGTTATCTTCAAGTTTCAAGAATAGAGAAGTGTGTTTATTTCTATTACATGGACTCTTCAAAAGTAGTGAAGTACCCGTGTCGGACACATATCTATAGGACATGGGTATGGGATGTGTCCGACACTTTTGGTTGGACATGTACTTAAAAAGCATATCTAATCATTCAATTACATTAAATTATTACTTTAAAATGAGTTAAATGCCTATATTGAACATTATATTAGATAAAAACATTACTTTACTCTAGAAAATAAAATAAAATCATTAATAAAATGAATATTTAGCCGTGTCCGTGTGTCCTTCTATTTGGAGATTTGACACGTCCAACGCCTGGATACATACCTGTGTCCGACATCCGTACCCGAGTCCATGTAACATTAAATTTGTACCTCCAGTCAAAAAAGTAATACATGCCTTGTTCAATCTTTTATTCATTTATTTGCTATATGCGTTATTTATTTACATATCAGTATTATCACTTTGTGCATATTAGATGTCACATTCATTAAGGCATTTGCAAATTTAAAGGAAAGGCCACCCCCTACTCCAATCAGTCTCCTGGTTGCAATCAGGCTGATTCCGGCCTCATAGGGATGGTTCGGTTTCCGTACAGTCCTGGTGGACTCTGGCATGCCCACACACCAAAATTTCCAAAATGTAGGCACCCAAAAAATCTTTTTGTGGCAGCTGCAAAACTATAGACAATGAAAGCAAGGAATGAATAATCCATTCAATTCCAAGCAAGGGGAGAAAAAGAGCCTACATCTCTTTAACAACCAAACAACAAACGAAAAGATACTAAGCAAATGTGTGCCATGACCATAACTAACAAGGGGGTCAAAATGCTTGTCAGTATATTGGTATTCTATAATGCAGCAGTACATATATGGCATAATCTTCCAACTATATATAGATATCTTTTATGCCAAGGATGTTCAACGTCACAGGCATATATGGCAACAAAGGTTAATATCATAAAACAAGGACAAACAGATAAGAGTAAATAAGATCATGTATATACTACCTTGATGCATTCCTTTCCCGTATGTTCATCCTCAACCACTACAGCATCCATAAATTTACCCATAGCAACGGTGACGGCAAGGTTGTATTTCTTTTGCGTCGGCCTGCAAAGATCAGTCATGCGACCGTGGACACCTGGAAAGAGGCGTTTGAGAGTCTCAACTGCTTGTGACAGCCTGGCATCCCTATCATTTTCGTGTCTGTCAGCCTTCAATTCACGAAGTTGGTTTTCTACTTCGCTAATTTTTGCCTTCAACATTTCATATTTGCGTCTGTAAGAGAAAAGGTTTTCATATAAGTACAAAACATCTTCTATACAGAAGAACCAATTGCTGAACACATAAGAAGCAGCATTTGGCATGCAGATACACCTAAATGAACTTAATTCGGGGTAGGTAGAAACAGGGAAATGCTTACTTGTACATAAGCAATATTTAGTGTATATCATCAAGTTGGCTAACCTCGAAGTTCCAAGTTTTTCTTTCATCTCACGCTGTTCCTTTCTCACACGTGTGAGTTCTTCCTTATGTTTACCAACAGCATCAAGAATCTTTTTCTGTCTTGTTTGCATTTGTTCCTCCTGCAATTCCAACTCTTTCTTTCGACTTTCCAACTGTTGAAGGTTTTCTTCCAAATTCTTTTGAGCTTCCATATCAGCATGATGTTGCCTATCCTGGACCTCTTTCTCATCCCTTAATTGTGCAGTTTTCATCCCAGCTTCCTCCTTACTGAAACACCAGAATTCCAAAAATAGTTTAAAGGTTTTCTTTTTTTTTTTTTTATTCTTTTTCTTTTCTTTTTTTCTCAATTCAACAATGAACTTGATATACATGTCATTTGATTAAGTAGAGAAATCCGACTAGTAAGAGAAGTATATACAAACACAAAAATAGACACATCTATCCACGCATGTATCTGTGTGGAGAAAGAGACATTTACTTCTATATTAATAATTAATATATATATATATATATATATATATATAGAGAGAGAGAGAGAGAGAGAGAGAAATAATAGTGTAACAGTGTAATATAATCTAAATAGAGGACTTCAAGTTCTCTACAAAATAATATAAACCTTTTCAGATTATTTGAAAGCTTATCAGTCTCGGACTTTTACATTTCATAAAGAATAAAAACCAAATACCCCACACATAGTTGTTGAAGGCTCAAGGCGCACTAAGGCACCAAAGGCCTTATGGAGCCTAAGCGCAAGGAGGAGCCTGATTGAAGTAAGGAGCATGTAATAATAATGCAAATTTAAACATATTATACATCTTCAAAATCAAGCACTAAAAGCAGTTACTGTAAGTAGAGAACCATAAAATTATGAATTTTGTCAAATATTTCATAAGGTTAAACAATACGATATATAATATAGAATCTCTTAATTTAGAAGACATTAAATAAAAAAGAAAATGATATTACTAAATACTTAAAAAATACAAGGCTACCTTTTTCGAGCCTGGAGCCTACTAAAAAGTGTGAGCCAGTGGGCTTAATGTGAGCTTGATTGAAGGGGCTAGGCATATAGTAGTTTGAGGCGCTCTAGCAGAGCCTTGACGAGCCTGGGGTTTTTTTGGAGCCTACGTGCACCTTTAACAACTATGACCCACATGAGAAGACCTATAAAAAACCAAATAAACTTCATGGAGATATGCATGTGGAATAGGCAGGATATTTTGTCTGTGAAGAAGACAAATTGCACGGCAAGAGAAATGCACAATTGAACCCCGTTAAAGGTATCATATATGATTGTGGAGGCAGCAACAAATCAGGTCAGTGGAGTGTGGAGTAAATGGGCTGCACGGCCAGAGAAGTACAAAGCTAAGCCGTTGAAGACACTGGGGGTACTTATGCAGAGAAGACAGATCATGCAGCTAGAAAAGCACACAGACAAACCTCATGGAGATACAAAACGTGCAGCTTCTAATCGGTAGAGGGCACAGTGTAACCCAATCATAAGAGCACATCCACACAACCAATAATATGCTGAATTAGCCCAGGATGTACAGTGGTGGAGGAATCCTTACTTTTGTCTGAGGTTATGGAGCTTGTCTATTTGTTAGTCCATTGAAACGAAATATGTGTCATGTTTTAGAAAGGGTTATGCGTCATGAGGATCAATTCATCATGTCAAATAAGATTGGATAGTGTACTCATGGAGAATGTCATGCATCGAGCTGCGGGAATAACATGCGGCTTTCTTGGAGATGCCATGTGGCGATGTCAAATTCCTGTAAGCTGTCACATAGGCAATACATGGCACGGTGATGGATGCCACCTCATCAACACATATAATGCTGAAGCCAGGTATCCACAGTTATGAGGCCCATGACTCATATTACCATATTCTCATTTGTTTTTATCCACAAAATGCTATTAACTCAAACACTACAAAACTTTTAACGAATTAATAATTAATCATTTTTTTAATACCAATTTGGTCCCACAGTAGATATTTTATATGTTTTTAATGATTTTTTGGAAAGAAAAATAAATTACATTGTTGACTAATAGAATAAGGTAACATTAAATGTTGTCCATTTGACATGTAGTATTTGGTCTCAGTATTGAGGAGAAGGAGGATTCTTCCGATGGTTGTCTTTGGAGAACAGGCTTTCACCATTAAGTCCTATTAACTGAGTGGTTGGAAGCCTTCCTGTTTCCCTCGGGAAAATATTTGGGGATCCAGGTTGCCTCCAAAGATATCCTTCTTAGGTTGGACTGCTTATTGGGAGAAAATGATCACTATCGAAAATTTTATTAAGAGGCAAAGTTCATGCCATATTGGTGTTCTATGGGTAGAAGAGACAAAGAGAAGGACAACTAACATTTTATGCATTGTCCGGTGGAGAGCGATTTATGGTGTATGGTTTTCTCTTTCTTTTGTGTGCTTTGTATGACACTGAGGGACATCCTTGCTAGCCGGATGGGAATTGTCCTTCTGCTACAGTGGCTCTCCATTTGGTGTATGTTCTTCCTCGGTCTGTTCTGGTGTATTTGGAAATAAAGAAACAAAAGATCGTTCAAGCTTATGGCTTTATCTCTAAATTGATACAACTTTGGATTCATTGTTTCACAGCAGCTGAATGGAGAGCCTTACAGTATTAAATTTGATGACTTCTTGAGTATGATGGATTGGAAGTTGAAGGTAGAGTATTGCTTTTTGTTTTAGAGGCATAGAGTATGTAATCCTGCATACATTGCATGTACTTGGGTTGCGCCCCTATGGAATTACTTAAATGAATTTGTATTTATCAAAGGGATACATGAAAACATTATACAGGAAACTATATATATATATATATAATATATGAAAAATTAAGTGTATGCAAAGCAGCAACAACCAAGCCTTTTCCCAATTACTTGGGGTCGGTTACATGAGTCCCATGTTTCCATTACGCTCTCAGTCAATCCACAGGCTATCATATCTTTATTTACTAACTCTACCCACGTAAGTGCATGCAAAAGTGTATAACAATAGGAATAGAAAATTCATACTCTCATATGACAGGTCATGGCCAGTAAAATTCTTTCAAAAAGTTTGGTACACAATAATACTATTAAAACCTTTTGTGCCCCAGGATTATGAATCATTAGGGGGGACAATTTCAGTGCATACCCATTCCATAATCATATCGCAAAGTCTGTATATCAATTAAGGCTTATCTAATAAAAAATAATTTAAAATATTTAAAAATAAAAAGGTCTAAATCTGTTCCATCCAATAGCAACAATTATCCAGATTAGTAATTCACTCTGTTGCACACGAAGAAACAGCAAGAGGAAAAGCACTGGCTGGAAGCATACCCAACCCCCTAGCCAATTTTGATAAAGGACTCACATTTGAGACGCAAGAAACTGACGCCCCAGCTACAATGCTAATACAAAATTAGGTACGTGCTAAGCAAAATTCCATGCCCTATAAATTAACAAGAACAGAAGTTACAGAAACATTAGGACTTACATACGGTGATATATCTCTAATTGACTGTCAGCTAACTGAAGTTTTTCACCATCATCTAGGCCTTTTTCATGTAGGTCCTCCACTTGTTTAGTGAGATCCTGTAAATCATTCTGCAACTTTTTTATTTCAATCACATGCTTCCTCTTTTCTTCTTTCTTTTTCTTAAGATCCTTCTCGCTACTTCTGATTTTTGACATTATGCGAGACATTTCCTCCTTTAATTTTAAAAGCTCAGGTTGCTGTGAACAGAAAGAATCCAGTACAAATAGTAAATAAACTATATATATATATATATATATATATATATATATATATATATATCAAACTGGGAAAATAAAAATAAACTATATATCAGTAAGCATCTAGTGTCAACAAAGTAAAGATCAAATGTCTTCTACGCAAAAGCTCGGGACAACAGTATACCAGAAAGGATAAAAGTAAAAAGTCTTATTGCATTGATCATGCCTCCACCATATACTTACACACCCCATGAGAACCATTTAAGATGAAGGAACAGCCAAAATATATTATAATAATAATAATATAATCAAAAGCACATTCTGAACTCACAAATTCAGGTACATTTAAAAATGTTACATGCATATATTGGAACTTGATGCTGCAATTAATTGAGTGACACAATAATTCATGAATCAGTTACCTGCTTATTATAAAATTAATCTAAAGACACTTCGTCAAAAAGCATTGGTATAACGAAAATCCTACCAAAATCATTAGACAATTACCGAACGAGTTTTGTCCATACCAATCAATTTATGACAAATTTACTGAAAGGATAAAACTAGAATGAGGGATCTTAATATGAGCACTCAGTTCAGTCAACATATTTTTGAGTTTTGGCATGCATAACCATACACACGTCTCACCTGTGTTTGTGGGTAAACGTTAAAGTTCATTGTAAACATATCAACCACAAATGAACCCTCCTTATAAACAAGTATTTCACATCAAATAAAATTGCCAATAACCCCCACAATTTCACCCAAAGAATGTACCTGAATACAATTTATAAGCCATTAAAGCGTTGCATACAAAAAATAGAATGGCAAGGAGGAGTACTTGTTTACTACATAACTGTACCCTCGATCCTATGCTTGAACCTCAAACACAGAAAGCTTGCCTGATCTTTATTAATACACTGAGTCTTTCCATGACAAACCAAAAAAATAAGCATGTTGGGTGCACCACTGTTACTATGCACAAACTTAGCCATCTATGCAGATTTCACTTATTCAACTTTTGAAAAGGAGTATCATTAAATTTAAAGCTATGAAAAAAAATATAAGAACGACAGCATTAAATAAGGAAGAACTCACATTCTTATCAAGTCTATTATTTTTATCCCCAATCTTCTTTTCATATTGTGCGATCTCCTTCAGATATTTTGCTTGTTCTTTCTTCTTTTTGCTCACTTCACCTTCATAACTATCAATTTGCTGCATTATTTCATCGCGGCTACTCTTCTCAGTTTCAAGCTCCTCGCTAGTCTTTGCAATATCCTTTTCTATGTTCAATAGTTGCCATAAGAAATGTTCTTTCTTCAAAGATTTCTGCAGGGGAGAGAGAGAGAGAGAGAGAGAGATTCATGCCATGAAAAGAGGAAATGTCACGGGTTTTTAAAAAATGAGTTTCAAGGTAGAGCAGCAAACCATCTTATGCACACAATACAATAATTTATAAAACCACAGTTTCTAAGGCTAAGTTGAAGGACCTGAAGCTCTTTTCTTTCTTAATAGTAACAAGTATATTTAACATATTATAAAGAACCAACAGAGAGCAAGAGAGAGATGCCACATAAAATTGATATGCTTATCAATAAGTATCCAAACTCCTCCTATGTCCCCTTCAAATTCTCATACCACTATCCAGTATTGGTCCTGCCTATGCAGGGTACTGGGGGTAGACTATAGATATCCTAAATTTTAACAATATTTTGCACAAAGTGACTAATATCAGACTCAAACTTGTATCCCCACACTATTAACTTTCGGCCAAAACTTTTACCATTGCACCAAGCAATGGCCCATTTTATGTTATCAAGCAAAGATAGTTAATCAACCAACATCAACTGGACAACCAAATAATTCTTTAATAAGGAAAATAAAAAAAAAATAAAAATAAAAAATAAAAATAAACAGGCACTTCAATAGTCCTCACTATTATGCTCTCTCCATTATACACCCCTATGAGGAGCATAGAACTGATCTCATGAAACTTGAACCATTAAGAATAACATGATAGCATGACACATAGCCACGTATCAATAATTTGAAAACATAGAAGGCATGGACTATTGGATACTGTTACAAATTCAAAAGGGAAAGGCAGGAAAACATGCATACATTTTAAATAGTTTTTAAAAGAATTAATAAAACATAATTTTTTTGTTACAATAAGCAAAAGTATACATAAGTGAAAGCGATGTCACAAAAAAACTGTAGTCTTTAAATGAAACCCAATAAATTGAAACATAAAACGGTGATATTGCATCTTAAAATAACAATAAATAATCAAACTACTAAGAGGAACGCGTCGCCTGCGACAATGGTCAAACTTTACATTCTTCGTTCTCTTTTCAATTATGTGAAGAGGAGCTTTTGTTCTTCTTCTGATGATTTAATTACTTTCTTGGATTCTTTGGGGCCTTAGTCCCGGTTCCACTTTTGTAATTGGGACGCGTTCCCCTTTTGAATGCCTTTTTAATGTTATTTTTACTTATAAAAAAAAAATAATAATAACAATAAATAATCACTACTAAGAGGAATAGACTCTGGAAGGAACACGGGAATTATTAACATAGAGCCTAAGCCTGTGATAGCAAGTCCAGTGAAGGACTGGATTCCCCTCTAAATACGCTAGTCAAATAGAAGTGGAATCCATGTCAATTCACAAATTTGACCAAGTCAAGCCATATAAATGAACATGAATCCACCTTTACAGTGCTTTTAAAATAAGAATTGAACATTAATCGTAGAGGGTGTAGACTCAAATCCCTGCCACATTATATGACTCCATGCCTATAAGCCACCAATGCCTAGCCATCTAATGTGTTGTAATGTGGAGCGTATTTAAAGCATGTAACGTAATTAAAGCCAACAAAACTGTATAAATGTACAAACGCATACAAATCTGTGTAAGGACATAGATAGGGAAACTGGACAATCTAATATTTTCACACTGCCACTCTCACACCAGTGCTTGAAACCAGGTTCTACAAATGCAAGACAATCTAAAGACTAACAAAGTATTTACATGATGCTTATAATTATCACTAAAATATACACATATAAGCGCGCGCGCACACACACACACACACACACACATATATATATATATAATTAAAAAATAAAATAAAAAATTGTATAACAAAACATTATGGATCATACCAGTTGTTCTTGCAAGCGAAGATGCTTTTCAGCCTCTTCCTTCTGTTCTTTCTTCTGCTTTCTCTCCAGAACTATGGTTCTTTTTTTCTGATACACAAGTGCGGATTTTTCTTCAGCTATGGCTTTTTGTTCTTCCAGTTCCTCATACTCTCTCTTGAGTTCATCGGACCCAGAGATATTTTCAAGAAGTGCCGTAAGTTCTCTGGGATTCTTAGACGCAATCGACTCGACATCACCCTACATGAAAAAGTTTATCAATTACTAGGAATTAACTTAAACAACCCCGAACTCCAATTAAGAATATTCAGACTTCAATCCATTAAAACAAAAGCAATTAAGTATGATTTCAAATTGTTCTTTTTGATGGAATCACTCCATTAGGATCATCAGGCATTTCGAGTAAAACTGATCCAAAATTCAAAAAGAAGGGTTACATAGGGTGAAAATTTTTAAGCACCAGTTGCAATTGCATAAATGTGAAGTATTTTCACAATATCCGAAATTGTTGGATATGGATGGGGGCTTCTTTTTGCTGGAGGCCTCTTTGTAGTTCAGTTATTTAACTCCATGATTTTTCTGTAGTTTTTTATGTTAATTTTCTTACTCGTTATATCATTTTGAACCTTTTCTCCCGATTTCATTTTGAACTTAATTTTTACAAGTTTCTTTGCACTTCATTTGTCCAAATTTATGATTTCAATCTTTTAACTATTATATATCTCTCATCTTGAACTAAATCCTTAATGCATTTCTTAGTAGTTTACACTCTCCAGATTCTGACACAACAAAAACATATGTAAATTGAGAAATCCAATATCAGTAGCAACAAATGTAGTGAAATTATAAACAAAAATAAGAATAGAGTCACTGAAACCACCTGAAAAACAAGAAAATTGCGAGCCTTGACAAGAATTCCGAGCGTCTTCAACTTTGCGCTGTACTCATCCCACGTCACGACTCTACCGTCAACGCGGTACTCGCTCCCGCCAGAACTGGTGATCGTCCGCGTAAACTGAAGTTCGGACCCATTAACCAACTGATAAACCAACCTCACGAAGGCCCTTCGACCCCTTTGCTCTTTCTCTCTGTCGTCAAATGCGTAAATCAAATCCCTCAACTGTGCACCTCTGAGTTGACCGGTTCGGACACCGAGGACGAAGCTGATCGCGTCCATGAGGTTGGATTTTCCGGCGCCATTCGGGCCAATGATGGCGGTGAAGTCGTAGAAGGGTCCGATGGTCTGAAGGCCCTTATAGGACTTGAAATTCTCGAGCTCGAGTCGGAGAATTTTGCCCGGAGAGGGTATGGAGGGCATGGTTCGGTCGAAACCCTAGATTGGAATCTAGGGTTTTGGGGAAATTGGGGTTCTGGAAATGGAAGATTAGTTAGGGTTTTTGGTGAATTTGGGAGAATTTGAAACTGCTGAGGGTACAGAGATTTGGGTTGTGTAGACTTGCAGGTTTTACTGTGTGAGTTTCCTAGAAGAGTACAAAAGAAGCGCGAACAATATATTACATTGCCAAATCTTCCGAAAAAACATATATAGATTACATTGCCGTGAGTGAGTGTGCGTGTGGAGGGAAATTTACAGTGAAAAAGCGACCTAATACAAGCACGTATATGTATGTGTACGTGTATAATAATAATAATAATACAATGACATCCTGGTATATATGGTTTATTTTAAATTTTATTTTGCCAGGTTTTAGATGTACTTTCACATTTCATAAATAGGGATACCAGATAAATAGTATGTACGGGTATGTACAATATTTGAAAGAAAAAAATACGATTAAAGTTTGGTATAAAAAATAAATCATAAATCATAAAACACTATGAGTGGAGAAATGCAATACGATAAGAGCGAAATGAAAATGAAAATAGATATGCAAGAGATGTGGATCACTTAGCTAATGTATCTACAGATTGGAATAGAATAATGAATAATTTAAAATTTGCTTGATATATATTTAAAAATAAAATTATTAAAAGAGTAAAATTGTAATTTACGATAATAAACATGATGAGATGGGAATGATAAGCTTTTGTCTCCAAATTTTCAATCATAAACTTTACCCTTGTCCGAACCCATTTAACCATTCCCAAAATCCTTCTAAACAGCCCTGCATATTTGTCATGCCTCGTCTCAATATTAAATCAAATTAAGATAGTGATGAAATGAATTAATTATTGTAAATTTATGATAAAATATTATAGAACTACATGTTTATTTGTTTGTGTTTTTTTTTTTTTTTTTTTTATCTCACCTTCAAAAAATATACTTATCTTATTTCAATAGGTTTAAGAAAGTAAATACAACAATACAATATTTATTTTTTTTTGTAAGCAAGAAATACATTCACACACTCACGTGCTCTAAGACTTTGTGGGGACTCGAAACATCGACTACTCAATTTGAAAGGTGAGGAAGTACCACCAGGGTTGGGTCTTGGGTGGAACCAAATAACTCAATATCTTATTCAGGGCTCTTCTTTATCCCAAAAAAATATTGTAATGTCTATTATTTTGTAACACACAAATGGGCATTAATTGTGATGTCTACCTTTTTTTCTTTTTTCCTTTTTATATGTGGGAAAGTATTAATGTATTGTTTTTTTTTTCCTGAATTGTAATGTTTTCTTTTATTTATAAGAAGGCATGTAATGTATTTTTTCTTTATATATGTAAAATCATTGTTTTTTTAATTTCTCAAAACACAAAATCGCAGCAAATAATTATAACTGCTAGCAATATAATTGTTGGGAATATAGTCGTTGGCAAAAAAACAAACAAACAATTGAAAATATATATTTTTTATTTTTTAGTTAATAAATTTTAAAAATCAATAAAATAATAATTCACTAAAAAAAAAAAAATCATACTCCTATTTATTAAATTATGTTGTAAAAATTAGACTATAAGCGCACTTTTAGCACTATGTGTGTGGATGAAAAAAATCAACGATTGCGATAACCGATTCCCTCTCACCCGATTCCATTACACTACGACCATGAACATTGACTGCAACTCATAGTTACCCTTCCTGACAATTGGTCAGGTCGAAAGTCAATGTTGTCAAGCAGCTGTAAAAATGAACAAATACGTCTAAGCGCATTTTTATATGGCAGATTATAGATGTGATTGACATACATGACTACAACCTAAAATCTTGCACAAGTAAGAAAATGAACAAGATAAAATAACTATGAGAAGCAACTCACCTTCTATCAGAATCCCTGTAAATCCCAACCAAAGCTTCGGCCTTGTCATAAAAGCCACAATACTCTGGAAACCGTTGCCTCCTTCAGCATCCTGATTACACTTGGCTTCTTCGCATGATTTTGATCGGATAAATCCAAGGACCTTAGCAACATTCAAATTATCCAATGCGGCATCCACTTTATCCAATATGAAAATTGGCGAAGGCCTATAGCTGAAAAATGTTATGGATGAAAGTAGTAAACCAAATTTTCTTGGAGAAATATGCATAAATTGAAAAGACTAGATTATTTGATCCTTACATCATATGCTTGTATCTGTGCAGAAAAATACCGTATCATTGTGGTGACTTCACAAGAATTACGCAAATGCTAGACTCAAGACAACAACAATGTTTAAAAGAAATACATCAAAAACTAAACAACACGCCTCAGTAATATACCTCCCACCCTTCAACGTGTTAATTCAAAACTTGCACATTTAAAATTAGTAACTTAGAAAATTGTTCGAGAAAAAATAATTAGTTTGGAATGTGAGGACCTGTTCCTTTTTTATTTTTTTCATTTTTCTTTTTTTGATATTTTTTCAAGTCATTGGGACCGGTCAGGTCAAGTGTTCGATAATTTTTTTTCCAACACTTCACTATTACTATATTGAGATATATTGGACATATTTATTTCATTGTGGACATCATATTTTATTTTTGGGCGATTGCGTTATTATTTTATGAGATAATTTGATTTTGGACATTTTTTTAATTTTTTTGTTTAGCGGAACCCATGGGAGATATTTTGGATGTATATTTTGTAAGAAATATCATTTTTTTTCTCTTCCTTTTCTTCTTCTCAATTTTTTTTTTTCCTTTTCTTTTTGGATATTGGGTTCAAGAGCCAGTTTCATCTCTTCTCAGTCGGATTTAGCCAATGCCGTAGAAGGGTCTTATGATAGGGATACCAAGGGCTTCAAAACCCTTATCTTTGTTTCAAGTTTAGAGCATTTTTTTTTTATTTATTTTGGGGTAAGTTCGGTTTTGGATTTTAAGGCGGTTGTAGGAAACTTTATCATTCCCCTCATTATTCTATTCGGTCCTCCGAATTTTTAGCTCAAATGGAGCACTTTCATTTTGGTGATTATTGGGATTTTCATCCCAATTGAGGTAGGGGGTGTGTTGCGTATGTAATGTTATATTTATTTGAGTTTTGTGAGTTTAGATTGTATATACTTGAATATGTGTGTGGGTATTTAGAAGTATATACTTGATTTAGAGATGCTTTAAAATGGTAATTTAATTGTATAGTTATTGATGCTATGCCAAATATACGTGAATGATGTTGTTAGCTTATTTTTTGAAGTTTGATTATGTGGATATCAAAGTTGTATTGGAACTGATAAAAATGTTTTCATAATTACATAGAATTGATTATGATCATATATTATTTGAGATGTTGTCATTACATTAATGAACATGACACGATAGCATTGAACTTTAGGACATGATTCATGTGAAAAATTTGAGTTTATATGCGATTGTGAAGTGTAATTTGATTATATATTGGTACATGTTTAACTTGTGGAATTGGATGATGGTTTTTGGGATATTCTCGAGAATTATTATACGATTTGATCGGTGACAGCTAGGTTTTGGCACTAGCAGGCGAGCTTGGGCTTTCCAACTTTATAATGACCATTAAGTTTGTTCCTTGCGGTTTAGTAGACCGAAAATAACATTATAAATGATTGGTTATCAGCGATTTTATTCCGAAAAAACCATTTTTATCAGTTTATGCAATGTGCATAACTGGGGGTGCGTGTGTATCAAGATATCGCTCTTTCCTTTATTGATTTCGAATCTATTATTAAGTTGGCATCCATGTGTAGTTGCAACTTGGTTTATTGTTATTATTTCCAATTTCCGGTTTTGTTTCAAGTTGTCATTCATGTGTAGTTGTGACTTGATTATTTGTTTTATTTCATTTGCTATGTATATGCTTGTTATAAATGAAATGAATGTTGTATATGTATTGAGATTCATTTGTGGATTATGATGATGTCTTTGGGACTTCTTAGGAATTAGATGTCAAGGAGCATGTCCTTTTGCATTGTTGACATGGCAACTCTCGTGAGGCCAGAAGAACATAGTTTGTGTATGTACGTAACATATTTCTTACTGAGCATTATAAGTTCACCTCTCGTTAATTCCCCTTTCAGGTTAAGGTAAGGCTATTGACGACGATGCACCTTTTATTTGTTTTGGAAAGTGTAATTGAAGTGAGTGTATAATTGTTGCCATGTTGTATGATTTAATTCATATAAGTAATACTATGAGGCCGTGAGACAATTTTTATGTCAATGTATATGTTTTTCATCATCAATTGCACACTTTGTATGTATTTTTATATACATTTTTTTTTTTTCACGTTATCTATGTCATGATTTATGTTTTCACGAGGGTTGGGATGAATTTTGTTGGCCTAAGGATTTTATCTAAAGGTCAATCTTATGTTTTGATGATTACAAACCATTAATGATGTTTAAGTACTAATATTTTCATTAAGTGATATATAGTTGATCAATATGCAATCCTCAATGTTGAACTAGAAAATCCATTCCAAATACTCAAGCTATGGATTCATGGAAGCCTCAAAGTGCAATAAATCAAAGAAAAACTCGGACTTCAAAGATCACACAAAGCATTTCAAAGAAACAAAGCAAGTCTTCATCAAGCCTAAATGATCATGGTCAAAGAATGAAGAAAATGGTAGATAGGATGGTGAGAGCTTAAGATTTAATGTCAAAGTATATTTAAATATATTTTGAAGCTCAAAATTATAGGACCATGCATATCATACATCATTCATATGCTCCTATGACCATTAGCAATAGACTAAGAACTTCATTTATATATATTGACATACGAACTATTTGCTAAGAAAGAGTTAGTTCAAGCTTGATAAGCTTTGAAAGAACTCATTCTTTAAGTTAGAAATTCTAGGACCATGCACATTAATCATAATATTTATTTTAGTCTACAGAAAGTAAAGGAAAAGGCATTGAAATTAATTTTTCATCTTTAAAGCCTTTGTTGCCATAATTTGCTAAATGATTCTAGGACACAATGCACTTGAAATTTATCATCTTCATATGTCCCTATACTCTTAGAAATAGGCCTTGAACTAAATTGAACCATTCATCAAAGTCCTGGGTGCTAGAAAGATGGATATCTCATAAGAAGCAATTTTCAGCCCAGAAAAATTTCAGACCAGCCTGTACTAAAAATGCTAGAACTATTTGTGTAGTTG